GCAAACAAAACAATGATTACCAATTGATGACACAGTTGATGGTATAGTAACACTACTGAGACTATCACATCCATAAAAACAATAATTATCAATTGATGTGACACTTGGTGGTATTGTAATACTTTTAAGACTGTTACAATAACTGAAACATTGATAACCAATTGATGTGACACTTGATGGTATAATCATACTGCTGAGACTACTACATCCACTGAAACACCAATCGCTAAATGATGTAACACCTAATGGTATCGTAATACTACTCAAATAGCTGCACCAATTAAAACACTTTTCACCAATTGATGTTACATTCAAAGGTATGATATTACCAAATTTCTCTCGATCATCTCGAGTGTAAGTCACATTTTTAAACTCGATGTTTCGACTTTTGTTTTGGTCAACAGTTTCAAAATTAACATTAAACCACACAATGATTTTATAAAACGCTTTCTTAAATACAGGTATATCTTCGATGTCTCCATTTGTCATCTTGTTGATCATAAATCTATTGCCAAAGGTATTATCTTCTTTATTCCATAAACAAAGTGTCTCAATGTTTGAGAAATATCCAAGTGTTTTGGAATTTAACGGAATTGGATTGAAGTGAAACTTTTCCATAGTACCACCAAACTTCTTGCATACCAACTCTACGTTAATAAAGTCTCTGATAGTGACAAAGTATTTTGAGACTATCATTACGTGATAACTGTCAATTTTAGACATTTTGATTTAACAGTTTTAGATGTTTGAATAATTTAAAATATATTTTAATGTTATTCAAATATTATTTTTTATAATCATAAAAAAATGAATATAAACTTTTCATAACTTTAATCAATAAAAGCTATGAAATGTTATTTTAAAATTTCTTTAATTTAGATAATAAAATTAAAATCAATTATAAATATACAAGTGTACAAAAAATAAAAAATCATTTTGAGAATCGTTATTTTTTATATAATATTTATCATCCAATATCAACATTAATTCAACATTACGAATGATATTGATAAATAAATATAATATACACAACAATAAAATAATAAAAAATGTATGCAAGACTATTCCACATTTTTTGGAATAATTGTAATTAAAACACATATAATGAGTCGATGATGGAAATTGAATAAATATATAATAAAAACCAAACCAAACATACCTATTTATTTGAAAATGAACGATTCATAAATGAATAATATAGATTTTTATTATAATGACACAGACATTAAAATATATTTGAAATAACACAAAGAAATATTTTTTAATTGTTATTTAATAATAATAATAAACAAAATAATATAATTAAGTCGAAAAAAACTAAAAGTTTAAGCACAAAAAGTGATCACACGAATGCACTAAAAACAAACAAAAATCGATAAAGTCTGTGTTTTATCATAATTATTGTGACTTGTACATTATTTTTTGACAATTGAGAACAATGATAACTTAAGCACTTTTTAAACGATATTAACATATAAAATATGAAATATTGATGAAAATTGTAATTTATTACAGTGAATTATTTAATAAATATTAAGTTTAATCACAAAGATATTATTTTAATTGATAACTCAAAACAATGTTATTATGGGCAATATCAATAGACTTTTTAACACTATAACAACTCTATCATAATGTTTTTGACGAAAGTTTTATTAAACAAATCACTGAAATAATGTTCATTTGTAAACAATTATAAATAAAATATACAATGAAAAATGATTATGTTATAAAAAAATAATGATTTAAATTTACTCAACTATACAAAATTTTCTATTTATCACAACTATTTCACGTATTTAGTCATTGATAAACTGTTGTTCACAAGTCTGTACCGCCTTATTTTTAGAACTCCATAAAGTTTTGTTTTTTATTTTTTATTTTTTCTAAAAAACAAAAAAACAAAAAATTGAAAGTACAGACTTAATTTTGAAAAAATACCAATATTGTTCAATTATTTTACACGACATCGGGAAATTGTCGGAATATTAGACAGCCTTTTTCAAAAATAACGATCCCGTTATTTGATTTGACACAACTCAATATCTCGCAACACAAACTCTACGTTGTAGGTCAAATCATACAACAATAAACACATTGGTAAATTGTGATGTTGTTGTTAATGTAATTTTGTAACTAAATAACATTTCGTTAATTTTTCATTTTGATTTAAAACAAAAATGTAATTTTATTCTTTAAACAAAAGAAAATGAAATACATCGTTTTAAAAACACTAAAACAAAAATAAAGATAATATTTCATAATACTGACTGTTGATTGATATTATTGTTGTGACAACACTATTAAGCACACCATCATTTGAACAATGTTTGTGCTCTTGCCTTTTTTGTCTTGACAAAAGAAAATGAAATAATGAGTTTAAACAAAAAAAAATTGAGCAAACTATTAATAATTTTGGGTTTTGATATTCTAGTCATTGTTGTGACAACACCATCAGTATATCGATATTACGCGATACTTTCTTGAGGGTTATTTATTTTATTTGTTATAAAGGAAAGCTTGACTTTGAAAATTTTTGGCATTAAATTTATCAGCTTTTTATAATAAAATGCACTTTTGGGATCAGTTACGTGTATTTCAGAAACAAAAATCCCTTTATTTTAAATTTTATATAAAATTTTTATCCGTTTAAAATTTATTCATATAAAAAATATAAAACAGACTTTTGAAAAACAGTTTATATCAATTTTATCTTTTTAAAATGATTTTCAATCGTATTATAATAATAAATGAATTATATCAACAAAATTGTCATTGAAAATGAAAA